TGACATCTATATAACGTCTATTCGCCGGCGTGTGTATAAACAACTAACAATAAGATTCATTAACAGGCTTTGTAATATAAATATAAATCTAAATTGTAAGAAGGCGAAGGAATCGAATTTATTTCGATAGGGAGGTCAAGGGGTTTTTGACATGAAATCTCAAGTAAGAGATTATTTCAATTTTCAATATCTTGGTTAGTACACCAAGAATAATATGGGCCTTGTGCACGATTTGTTTCCATAGCAACATCCGCGTTTAGCTCTTCATGTCTTCTTACGATTTAAATTTATATTTATATTACAGAGTCTGTTATTAAAACTTATTACAATAAATTTTCTTTTACTAATATTTCTATTGTACTTATTTCATTATTTACATCCATTTCCCAGAATTTCTGATTTTTCGTACTCAAGATCACACGAAAGCCATTGTATTATTATTATAGGTCGTTGGATTCGTCTCGACCACAGCTATTACGCTATAATGATAGATATATACAATCTTATTTTAAAAATATCGATGACCTCAAAATCTTTAAAAATATGATCTTGAGAAAAAAATTATACCTCTTATAATATGTATCCCTTCGAAGCAAACAATTTATTTCTTGGGTATTTTCGCGTATCATTAACGATAACGATATTGTCTTGTAACAGAGTTACTGGGACACCCTGTATATATATATATATATATATATATATATATATAATTTTGTTGTTGCAGCAAAAACGTCATTGCGATTGTATACTTGACGTAATAGCAATTAAATTTTGCTGTTGTAATTAATTTTTTAATTTATTTAATGTTACAGCAAAATCTGTTTAATTGACAGAATAAAATTTTTGTTGAGTTAATTTGTTCATATAAACATATAAATTAAAACGTTTATAACCTGCTGAAAATTTAGTATTACGTAATGCACAGCTAACATGTTCAGACAAGCCTTTTATATACGGAAAACCAATAAACCTTTTTTTATTGTTATTATTAGAAACAAATGTTTCCATCGAATTATTATTGTTGTTATATTTAATGGTAATCAGTTTTTTTATTCTTTTTTTAGTATATTTAAAAATGAGAGGAAGAGGAAAACCATTGTCTATTAAATTCTCAATACAAAAAATTAAATTCTTTTTGTGAAAATTAGGATTGGAAAGTAATATGAATCTGTCTATTAAACTATAAATAACACCAATTTTATTACATAGAGGGTGATTTAAATGGAAAGATAGATACCTGCCGGAAAATGTATTTTTATGAAACCAATCTATTGTTAAATGATTATTTATATTAACTGTAATGTTTAATTCCAGAAAATTTAAACTGCGGTTTTTCTCTTTCTCATGTGTAAATTGAATCTAGTCATGATATGAATTAAAAATTTTTACAATATTATTTTACAATATTATTACATTCGTCTTTAGGAGCTATCAATAAAATATTGTCAACATATCGTACATACAATGGTAATTTTATTCCTATTTTATATAGTGCTTTATTTTCAACATTCCTTAGAACTAAATCTGTCAATATTGGTGATAACAAAGACCCCATAGGGGTGCCAAAAATTTGTTTATAAAAATTCCCTTCAAAACTAAAATAAGTTTAAGTGAGAATAAAATTAACCATGTTGACAAACTCCGCTCTAGGGATGTTAGTATTCTTCTTAATGTAAAACCATCTATTATTGACCGCTGTAATTGCCAAATCGATGGGGGCTGAAGAAGCACAAGTATGTGCAGAAACGTACCACCTAATTTCTAATCAAGAATTTTAATTTATTTGGTTTTCATCCACACATCGTAGCCCGTATTAGCCTTTCAATTATTAGTTATTTTTTAATTTAACGAGTCTGACTTTCATACTCATATTTTTATAAACGCTGACTGAAAAGATGCGGATTATCAACAACTTCTCCTATCATCGGTTTAACTTCGAATTTGTTTAAAAGTCTGTTGAAGAGACTCTTTGGCGTTTGTATTCGCGCGTCTTATCGGCTCAGTAAAGAATACGTAGCACGCCGCTGGAAAGGCGCTACGAGAGGCCGTTGTTTCCCAACAAGAACGCTAGCAGCGCTGACCTCCTCCCTCGTTTCTTCTTTTTTGATTCGGCCATTGTTCTTCTTTTCCTCGTTGACGACGGATGTGTTTTCTGAGTCTTAATCGTATTGGCTTGAGGTCAGAAATTATATTAAGAGTCTACCTTTCACCCAAAAGTTGTGTTGAACAAAGACTGAAATCTATTCAAGTTCGTTAATTGATTACTTCTATATAATTGGGTGAATTGACGAACTCAGCTATATTAAAAACACGAGGCGATTTCGATCGTTCTCAGAAACGTTCTCGATTCTTCGATCGAACACAGTGGCGGTAAGCATACCGTTCTCTTTATGGAACTATCACATAACTGCAGAAGGCAGTGGAATGAAAAATAATGACATAAGAAAGTGAATCGGTAATTATCTCACAAACGATTCTGTTCAGGTAATATATCTTTACTTAACTAAAATCACATCTGAAAATATAATATTGGCTTGGTAAATTCCAAGTTCTCGACAGAATCTATGAACTGTTTATCTACCCAGGCCTGCTACGATCAGGTTCTTATAAGGCTTGATTTTGTCAAGTTCTCTTAAGCACTGATTGGCTTCGACAAGTTCTCATTCTTATATTTTACTCATATGAATTGCTTTTTAATAATCAAGTTTTAATTTTGATTTCTTTTAATAAGCCTATCTATGTTTGTAAAGATATTTAAATATGTTTTTCTTTGTTATTAAATTATTCATGAACTTTTTATTTTAATCTCGCAGTTAACTACTCACAATGTTATAGTTACTAATAATCTTATTTCTTTATGTTTTCCACTTCTTTCAGTTATTATTGCGTACCGTCTCATGATATTTATATCTTATTTGTCACAAATTTGACAGCGATTTTATTATTTGAGTCTCTTTATTCATTCTAGTTATTGAGCGTTCTACTGAGTCTATTTGTTTAATCACTGGATCGAGACTGTATTACATGATTTTTTTTACCTCTTTAGTTATTCTAAATGTTGCGGAGTCTATTTATTTAATTAATTATATTTAGCGATTTCTTTTCTTTTCTACTGTAGAGTTTAAAAATTAGCTAACCCCCGCATATTATGTTCAGTGATATTCTATGCTTATTACTTTCAATATTATTCTGCGTTTTATTACCTTTTTTTTAACCTATCTATATATGTATATTTGTTTTTTGTTTTCTTATTAAACTCTGTTATTCTTAAATTTAATTTACTTTCTTCTCTCGTTCACAATCTATTAATTCCTCTATCAAATTCGGAACAAAGTCATTTTGGGAGTTATGCTTCATACACACTCAAACTATGGATTGACATAAATTATAAGATCTTAAAACTATATGTACGGATCTATTTTTTAAAACAGTGTAAAATTAATAATTTAACACCTCAACATCTCAACCAAATTGTAAATAATAAGTTGAAATTGACACATCAAGTGTCGTTACAAAGATTAGATAAGTATAATTATTCTTTTTGTGTTAAACTTGTCGGGTTAGAGATGTCTGACCTTGTTTAATAGTATGAGAACTGGTGCGCCGGTTGTAAGCCGGCGCGTTCTCTACCCAACGTTTGATTGCTAACGAGATGATGTTCCAGCCGTGAGGCCGTTCCTCTTAATGCAGGATGTAACGCAGGATAGATGAGTCCGTGTGTGATATCCACACGCGGAATAACTACTATGTTCCGTTCCTTGTAACACAGGATTTATTATTGCGGCGTCCGAATGTGCCGCTCGTCGAAGTACAGAAATCTGTTGACGATATACGCGCAATGTTGTGTGTGTTTTGCGGAGAAGTACGTAAAGGTAAGAGAGCCGGAGGAGCGCTCGCTCCTCTATTTATATTTTGGGGGCTATCTCCACGTATTTTCAGCCGCGAATCGCGTGAGACCATGTTCTCGAGCAATACTTATATTTCACGATTGGCTGTTCTCTGATCGTCGCTGTAAGCACGAAACATCCGGCCCCCTTTGAAGGTCATGTCTTCAAATTAAGCGCCGAAACTAGTCGATTCATGAAATTTACGTTGTAATGAAGATTTCGTTATGGAGCCCTGTTTAACAATCAATAATGATAACGTGTCAAGCGGCGTGACATGAATTCAACAATGAATGGAAGCAAGCGCGCTCAGTGCGTCGCAAAGTGAAGTAAAGATACGCAACAAGCACATGCAACGAAAGAAATGCTTGAGTAAAAAGAAAACAAAACGCATTCTACAATAAAAAAGAAACGGAACGCAACGCTAAACGATATAAAATAATAAAATAAATATAGCGCGCATTTTACAATAATAAAAAAAAAACGGAACGCAACGCTAAACGATATAAATAAAATAAATAAAAAGGCGCGCATTGTGCCACATGCATAACAAGTACAGCGTAGAAGGAACGCGCGTACAAATAATTTAATCGATCGTGGGTTTGTCCGTGTCATTTATTGGCAATATTGCCAGTTTTGTCAGGGGCCTTGTGACTTGTCCTCGTGCCGTCTTTAGCGTGGCCGTTCGGACAACACCATCAGCGCCCGGATGCACCCGTTCAACTCGGCCCAATAACCACTGCAATGGCCCTAGTCCTGGCTGCTGAATTAATACAAGCTGACCAATTTTTAATTGCTGCCCCTGGTTAGCTTTCCACTTCCTTCGCTCGATGAGAGTGTGCAAATATTCCGTACTCCAGCGCCTCCAAAAATGCTGGCGCAGTTGCTCCACGCGCTGCCAGCGTAACAGTTGCCCCGGATTCTCCGCTGCCAAATCTGTAACTGGGAAGCTATTAAGCGCTGCACCAATCAGAAAGTGACCCGGAGTTATGCAGTTGAGATCGTTTGGATCCTCGCTTAGCGCTGTTAATGGTCGCGAATTTAGTACGGCCTCTATCTCACACAGGACTGTCTGCATTTCTTCAAAAGTGAGGTTCGCGTTTCCGACCACGCAATTCAAATGTATTTTCGCGGATTCACCGCTGCTTCCCATAGCCCCCCGAAATGTGGGGCATGGGGCGGTATGAATTTCCAAACGAACTTGTTCCGCCGCGCGAACTGACGCACCTTTTCCTGCCCTTCAGAGCTATTGGCTATTTCGTATATTTCCCTAATTTGCTTATTGGCTCCGACGAATGTCGTGCCATTGTCGGAGTACACGCACGCCAGCTTGCCCTTTCGTAACATGAATCTTTTAAACGCCCCCAAGAAGGCGTCCGCCGTGAGATCGCTTACGATCTCCAAATGCACAGCCTTGGTCGCGAAGCACACGAGAACAGCGATGTAAGCCTTCACCATCCCGGCGTTGCGCCGCTTAGATTCCTTTATAAGTATCGGGCCGGCATAGTCTACGCCCGTATGCGTAAATAGCCTTGACACGTTTACCCGTGGTCCAGGCAAATCCGCCATCACCGTCTGAGATGCTGCCGGCCCACACCTGAAGCACGTTACGCATTTGCGTAACACCCCGCGAACCGCTGAACGTGCCGCCAAGGGCCAATAGCGCTGACGCACCGCGCATATTGTGGCCTGCAGTCCCGCGTGCAAGCTCCTAACGTGCTCTCCTTGAATAATTAATGTTGTAAGAACGTGACTTTTCGGCAGCAGCATGGGGTGCACCGCATCCGGCGGCAACGCCGCCCTGCTTATCCTACCTTCAACGCGAATGACGCCACACTCGTCCATAAATGGTGACAATGATAATATACGACTCCCGCTGCCGATGCTCCGGCCCTCGCCCAAATGGCGATACTCCCCCAAGAACGACCCGCGCTGCACACAACGTACCACGACCTGCATGGCCGCAGTCATCTCCTGATGAGAGATCGATGACCCGATCCCCTCAGCCCGTCGCGCACGACCGAACCTCAAACAATATGACACTATGCGTAGTATTTTCTCCAGGCTCGAAAATTTCTCTAATAACCCCGAGACTATCGGTCGATCTCCGACCGCCACGACAGCGATCACTCTCTTCTGCTCGGGCAGTTCTCCTGATATCTCGACGTTTTTCCTTCCCACCACAGACCAGATACGGCCAGAGCCGCCAAGTCCGCGCCACGCGATAATATATCGGCCGGGTTGTCCGCGGACGGCACGTGTCGCCAATCCGCGCCCTCGGTCAAACGCTGTATCTTCCCGACTCGGTTCGCGACGAACGCGCCCCTATTTCGAGACAAAGAACGAATCCATTGTAAGGTAATGGTGGAGTCCGACCACAGAAACACCCCCGCGGCGGGAAGTCCGACCGATTCTCGAACCTTTTCTATTAATTTTGCCAACAGCAGCGCCGCGCTCAACTCTAAGCGCGGCAATGATATTGCCCTCATGGGCGCGACTCGCGATTTCGAGACCAGTAATTGTACTCGGCATTCTTCGGAATTGTGTGTTCTCACGTACACGCATGCACTATAAGCACGCTCGCTCACGTCGCAAAAGCCGTGCAGCTGCACGCCCCCGGCATCGATCACGCGGCCCACGAAACGCGGCACGTGCAACTCACTAAGATTCGGTAATTGTTTTACTCCCAGCCAACGCGTATGGATGTCCTGCGGCAGCGACTCATCTCATCCAACCTGCGTCTGCCATGTGTTTTGCAGAATTAACTTTGCTACTACCGTCAATGGCCCCAGTAGCCCTAACGGATCCAAAAAGGCTCGCGATTTCCGCCAAAATAGTTTGCTTGGTTACGCAATTGGCAGGCGAGCCGCTCTCATAGTCGAATTTGAAGCTATTACGGGATCCCACGTAATTCCCAGGATCTTAGAGTTCGAGTCCCCGCCCAGAGACACGCTCGCATCCGTCGCGTCCTCCGCGTCTTGCAACAATCCTCGGCAGTTGGATGCCCACCTGCCGAGCTCGAATTTTCCGCGCTTCAGTAGCGCAACCGTCTCCCCGCGGACGCGCTTCACCTCCGGCAGGGTGTTAGCACCGGTGAGCAGGTCGTCGACGTAGAAATCCCAGAGCACGCACCTTGACCCAATCGCGTACTCGTCCGCATACTTTTGTGCAAGGTGCTGAAGGCACCTGCTGGCCAGGAACGACGCCGAACTCGTACCGTACGTGACCGTCAGCAGCTCGTATTCGCCACACTATTCTATGCAGATGTGTCTGTGATTCGTGCAGCAGTATCTGACGATACATTTTAATTATGGCCGCCACGAAGACACACGAATGTTCGAAAACGTATTAATATTGCGATCAATTCCTGCTGAATAACCGGACCTATTCGCAAAGCCTCGTTGAGCGAAACTCCCGTGCTGGTTTTGCACGAGGCATCGAAAATCACGCGTAACTTCGCGCATGGACCGGTCCCCTTTATTACCCCGATGCGGCAGGTAGATAGGCTCACCCCCGATCGAACCCGCAGATGCGACTCTCATGTGTCCCAACGATTGATATTTGCGTAGAAAATTCGCGTAGGAGCGCTTTAAACCCGGGTCGCGGTTAAGCTGCTTCTAGAGTGTAAGAAAACGCTTTATCGCTATTTCGCGCGATTCGCCGAGCCGTTGAAATGTGTCCTCTTTTAGCGGCAATTTTACTACATATCGACCTTCATCGTTCGTCGACACGTTCATCATGAAGTGACTTTTGCACGCCTGCTCGTCGCGGGTATAACCGTTAGAATCCGCCAGTTCCTCGATTTGCCAAAATTGATTAACTCGTTCGTGGAGCTGCGAGTTACTAATCGTCGCGTGTAATGCACGCAATTTGGCGCTCGATCGCGAGGTGCCACCACCCGTACGCCCGGCCAAAATCCAACCCAAACGTGTTTTTTGCAAAAGAGGGTGCTCGGATATCGCACGAATTTGGCCCACGCACGCCAGCTGCCAAAACAGATCGATTCCGATTAATAAATCGATGTCGGAAGACACGTTGAATTTCGGGTCCGCTAGATCGATGCCGGGCGGCAGCCTGAAGGTCTGACGCTTCAGCGTGCTCGCCGGAACTCTATCTGCGATTTGATCGGTGACAACGCAGTTTAGCTCGGCCTCGAACGAACTCCGTCGCGACCGGAATCTGACTCGCGCCATCCAATTCAAGACGGACGTCGAGTCGAATATGCCCGATATTGACATTTCCATAGGCCATGTCTCTAATTTTAATTTCGCTACGAATTTAGTCGAAATAAAGTTCGCCTGTGCTCTTTTTTTTTGTGACGCTGGGAAAACCTCATGGTACCACACACCCCCGGGTAGGGGTGCGGGTTATGTGGGACTCCTTGTTCCCCTTGGTCGAGCTACGAATGGTTCGACCAGGGGCCCAAGATTTACCTTACTAAAACCCCAGCGGGTGTTTTTCCCGGGCGTTGGATAGGGGGCGGCGAGGATGCTGGTATCCCATGTTGACTCGCCGCCCCCCCGCCAAGTCGTCTCCGGGAGTTGCCTCAGTCTTGCGACCGAAACCCCTCCCCTACCACACAGTCAATGGCTGTGCGGTTCCCTCGCGGTTGCGGCGCAGGGCGAACACCGGCCCCACGCCGCGCCCTCCCAAAGAGTTTGGGGGGTGGGGCCATGGCTCGAGAACTCCCGCTCGAGACGCTGTGTAGAGGTTCCACCTCCATTCGTGCAGCCCCGGTTTCTTTGGGGGTTCCCACCATCTTGGTTAGTGGGATACCCCTTCTTCCTTTCTGCACCGGTGTGCAGGACTTTCCCCCCGTTCTATGATTGGCAGGGAGGTTTTTGTCCTTGCACACCGCGCAGTGTACCGGGGCTTCACATACACTGGCTCTGTGTTCTTCTTCTCCGCAACGGTAGCATCTACCGCTGCGGTCTGCCTTGTTTGGGCATCTGGCCCTTACATGGCCTCCCTCCAGGCATTTATAGCACTGGAGGGGGCGACTGTTCACCAGCTCGACTCTCACCATTGCCCAGCCTATCTTGACCTGGGTTTTCTTCGCAATGGTGTTTGCCGCCCTTAGAGGGTACCGGGCCCACACCATTTTAGTACCGTTGGGTGCCCTCTTTATTTCCCCACGGATACTTCCTCCTCTTGGCAGTTTCCGTCTCTAGAGATTGCTTCTCCGATCTCTGAGGGGGTAACTGCCTCGTCTAGTCCCCTCATTCTTATCTCTGCTGTCTTTGAGGGGCGCTGAATCTTTACACCCTCCTTCCCGGAGAGGGCCTGTCTGAGCTTGAGGGCCAATTTGTCCGCAAGCTCATTACCGTTTTCTCCGGGAATCTCATAAATCAGCGCCCCGGTGACGGCTCTTCTGATTTTCACGCCCTCCTTAATACCAAGGCTTTCGAGGCTCTCCATCTTTTGGCGAGCCTCAGTCATAGTGGCCTCGTATTCTCCCGGGGGGCGTGTTATTGATATCGCCGCCGTCCTTGGCTCTCTTCTCCTCTTGGGGGGCTCCATCTGCCCTTTCCTTTGGGATGCAATAAAAGGGGGGGGGGTCTCTGCTGCTGTTGCAACTTTTCTTTTTCCTCCTTGTCTTTCTCTTTCTCTTTCTTCGCAGCTCTCCTTGACACAACTGTTGTCCACGCTTCGGGTTTTTGTTGTTGCGTCTCTTGCGGAGCGGTCCTTTTGTGGGAGTTAGCTGCGCCTACCTTTTCCCTCCTTTTCCCTGCTGTTTTCTTTTGTAGGGGGAGTTCCAACGAGACCTTTTCGATAGCTTTTATTCTTGGTTTCCCGGGTCTCGCCGGCGGGTTCAGGGTTGTTGCTGTTGTCGGGGTGTTTCTATTCTTTTTCCCTGACGTTGTTGCTGCTTGTTCCTTCCTTGGGGCTGACGGGTTTGTCTTGCTGCCTCCTTCTTTTTCCGTCCTTGTCTTCTCGGCCTTCTTCCTCCGGGCGAAGCTGGGGACCGGGTTTCCCATTCTCCTATCCATGATGCGCTCACAGATCCCCTCCATCATGGCGATAAGGGCCTCCCTCTTATATCTCTCCTCTCTTTCTTCCTTGTCCTCCTGATCCGCGATGTCCACCACCCTCTTTTGGTGTTGAGGAAGTGGGCCTGGTCCGTTTCCTTTTCCTGTCTTCTCCTTTCCGAGGGGGGGGGGAACTCCTCCTTCCTGAATATGTTTGATCTCCACTCGTCTATCTCTATTTTCTCCTCCTTGTGGGCTTCTGGGGAGACCCCATCTTCGGGTGGATGTGTCTTTCCACGAGCCTCTTTTCCCTTATCCTCTGAGGGCTCCCTATCTGGGGGTGGAAGTGGATTCCCAGGCGTCTGGACCGTCTCGGTGCTCGGGAATTCCCCATCTCCCGATAGAGGTGAGCTTTCTTTCATCCACCTCTTTGTCCTTCTCCCTCTTTCCTTGACGAGGGAGGTCTCCTGGCTCTTCTCGGAGTGTCTTTGGATCTCCTCGCGACTCTTATTCGTCTTCCTCTTGAGCTTCAGCACGACTTTGCGAAGCTCAGCATTCTCCATCCGAAGGAGATGCATTTGGTATCTCATCTCCTTCATTTGGTTCTCTATCCGAGCCTCCTGAGGATGCTGCGCCTTTATGGCAAGTACGGTCGCGGCAGCACACATATCAGCTGCGGCTTCCTTTGCAGCCTTCGCAAGTGTGCCCTTTATGTTGCCGGATTGTGTGGCAACTTTATATATATATCCGTACATCTCTCGGATACCATTGCCTCCAGGTCAGCGATCGGGGTCTCGCTGTACTCTTCTTCCCTCTCCTTAATACTTTCAACGAAGTCTTTGAAAGATTTCGTTGGTCCTGGTTTGTAGAGCGGGTCCAGGATTTCCTTCTCTTTTTGAAGGGCTCTTTCTTCTTCTCTCCTGGCCTTTTCCTCCTTCTTTGTCCTACCAATCCTGGTAGTTCCGGGCCGGCCTTTTCCTTTCTTCTCCGGAATGGTGGGGATCACCCCCTCCTCTTCTTGCTCCCCGCATTCTTGTTGGTGTTGCGGTTCCTTTGGTAATTGTGGTTGTTATTTCGCGTCCTGCCTCTCTATCATCAGGTTTAAATCATTGTCGATCTGTCGGGTCATCTCACGGAAAGCAGGTAGCTCCGCTCTTTCCGTGCCCACGCTGATCTGATCTAAATCAAAATCAAGGCTGCTGTACTCAAAAGGAGCACAACTTTTTGCTCTTGTTTTTGTTGCCCCCCTTATTCTTGAGGGGCTTCTTGACCTGATTGCCCCTGTTCCTGAGGCGGGTGGCACGCCTGTTCTCCTCCTTAGTCTCGTTGCTATGCATGAATCCTCAGACGATGATGCGCCCGTCTGCGAGTCGCATCTCATGAGTTTTATAGCGACTTCTCTGGAGATCCCTCTTGCGATTTCATCAGAACTCTGCAAGACTGAAACCCTTTCCAGTGCGGCGCGTATATCGGCTCGCGTAACTAGCCCCTCCGTGTGAGACTCACCCTTCTCACCTTCTTTCTGATTTGTGTTTTTAATTATATCTTCCATTCTTGTTGATCCCACTGTCCCGCTGCGGCTCCGTCCCCCAGGGTATACCCCCACCGGCCAAGAGGTGCCCCGAAACATGACCGGCCACACCCCAGGGCCGGGGCCCAAGTTTCCCCGGGGAGGGGACATATGTCTTAGGCCGGGGGGATACCGCACCCCGGCCAGACTCCGAGCCCCTTACACACCCGTGTGGGATTTGACGCCCACACGGGCTTTCAGGGATCCCACACCTCCGACTGTGTGGGCACCGCAGCGGGTGGCGCCACCCGGGGGGCCCCACGGACGCTTTAAACAGGGTCGCCGCTCCCCGGCCCTGCCCTACACGTCGTGGCGACCAGCAATACCGTGTCGCGCCCTTCTCGAAGACGTTCGAGGAGGGGCAGGCGCCTCCCCGGCCGGTCGGTTCGGAAAGGGTAACGATCCCGACCGACCGGGGATATCTACTCTGGCCGCACCCAGGCCGCTCGGACGTTTCCGAGGCAGGGCCCGGCGGCGAGAGTAGATATCCCTGGTCGGTCGGGACCGTTACCCTTTCCGAACCGACCGGCCGGGGAGGCGCCTGCCCCTCCTCGAACGTCTTCGAGGAAGGCGCGACACGGTATTGCTGGTCGCCACGGCGTGTAGGGCAAGGCCGAGGAGCGGCGACCCTGTCTAAAGCGTCCGTGGGGCCCCCCGGGTGGCGCCACCCGCTGCGGTGCCCACACAGTCAGAGGTGTGGGACCCCTGAAAGCCCGTGTGGGCGTCAAATCCCACACGGATGTGTAAGGGGCTCGGAGTCTGGCCGGGGTGCGGTATCCCCCCGGCCTAAGACATATGTCCCCTCCCCGGGGAAACTTGGGGCCCGGCCGTTTCCGAGGCAGGGCCCGGCGGCAGGCGGCCGCGGCACCCTCCGGGCTATGCCCCTTGGGTAACCGCGGCGCGCCTTCTCCGCCACCCTCGGCCCGGATTCGGAAACGTCCGAGCGGCCCGAGGATGGCAAGTCGCAGGGACGCTGGGACGAGAGCACGCTCTCCAACCAGCACTCTGCGACTTCCCTCTCGCCGTCGAGCCCCGCCTCGGAATATATCCGAGCGGCCTCAACGGCCGACCCGCGTGGTCTCCTCCGGGCAGTGCCCCTTGGGTAAACCCTCCGGGCTATGCCCCTCGGGTGACCACGCGTGGCCGTCTACGCCGACCCAGCCCTGCCTCGGAGACGTCCGAGCGGCCTGGGTGCGGCCTACCCCAGGGACGCTGGGACAGGGACCCAGGCTACCCAGCCTGGAGACCCCCAACCAGCATCCTGAGGCACCTCCCTGTCCCCGGGAACCACTCCACGAGCGGGCCCCGAAGACCGATCGACATGGCCCCCTTCGGGCAAAGCTCCTTGGGACAACCCTCCGGGCAAAGCCCCTCGGGTGACCATGTCGATCCCTCCACCGGCGCGACCCCCTCCGGGCAAAGCCCCTCGGGAAACCCTCCGGGCAGAGCCTCTCGGGTAATCACGCGCGGCACCTTCCAATGCGGCCCCCGCCGCCGACGCCCACCCTTACCCCCCAAAGGGAACCCTAAAACGAGCCCCCCCCCCAGGACGGAGGGGGGAGAAAACCCCGGACGGCAAAAGCCGCCTACCCGACAGGCGTGTCGGGCCACAGAGCATGGTGGGAAGGGAAGCGCCGAAGCGCCGTGCAGTCCCTTCTCCTAACGGTGCCATGCCACCGAGCGTTTGAATTCCGGGTCGCCATCCCTTACCACATACGAGCCGAAGCTCTAACGGGGAAGTGGGCCCCGTCTCCCCAGGGGGTGGAAATCTTTCACCCCCCGAAGAAGAGTCCCCAGAGACGGAGGGCGTGCCCCCCGGACCGGGGGCAGTGTACCTCGAGAGGTACAGGTCGCTGTTGGCACCCCTTGCAAGACTATCCTCTTGCAAAGGGTGAGCCCCTTCGCCACGGCAAGGCCGCGATCCACGAAGGGGTCGCCTGTGCTCCTGCATCCAGCAAGGCACGGCATGACACCCGTGAGCCGCCCGCACCGTCCCCCCGACCGCATCGTGCGCAACCACGGCGGCAGGGTCGCTCGCGATCGGAGTCGAACCGTCCGTCGTTGAGTCGACGGTCCGCGAATTCTCGATTCCTCTTCTTTGATTCGAGAGATGCAGCAGCGTGTTGTGTTTCAGCTTGCACGTCCTGCAGCCGCTCGACGAGCACTCGGCCGCCACGTGATCACGGCTACGCAAGCAATTCAAACAAAGTTTTCGGCCGCGCATCTCACCTACGCGCCGGTTTACCGGAAGCGCTAAGAAGCCTCTACAAAAGTAGACCAAATGCGCACCCCCGCAATAAGTGCACTTTCCCTCCTCGACCGTCGCATGCAGCGCGTGTCGCCCCGAAGTCGATCGCGCCCGCGAACAAATGTCGGAGCGCTCGGAAGCGCCTGATCTCCCCCCAGTCGACTCCTCTAAAATCTGACTACGATGAGCGAGAAAATCAATCAATTCCTTGAAGGCGGGCAACTCCAAGCCCCCCAGGGAAGCATGCCACTCCCTGGATGTTACGTGGTCTAATTTGGACGTAATTATGTGTATTAGCAACGCGTCCCATTTGTCGGCGTTGCAGTCCAATGCAGTCAACGCGCGTACGTGTACCGCTGCACCGGCCGCCAGCTGCCGAATGCCACTCGCGCTTTCTTTTGTAATCGCCGCTAATTCGAATATTGCCTTTATATGCGTCTGTACGATTACACGCTTGTTGTTGTAACGGTCTTTTAGAATATTCCACGCAAGGTCGTAGTTATTATTCGAGATCTCTAATGTTTTGATGATGTCGAGAGCTGAACCCGTCAACGACGCCCGCAAATATTGAAATCTTTGTATATCAGATAATGTCTTGTTGTTATGTATGACCGACATAAACGTGTCATGGAATGGGAACCATTTTTCGTAC